TTGGTTGCATTCCACAGAATAGTCTTCGAATGATACTGGAGGTGATGGCTAGGACAGCAAATTAGTTGTAAGTCAGAGATCCACAGGGACCCAGTTTGGCTTGCAAACTACAAAATTATTATACAAATATGAGGATTTTGATTTGAATCTTTCAATTTTAAGTAGTAATCAATGAGTAGTAAAACCTAATCTCTGGCATTTTAAAACCAGAACTCTTAACTAATCTTTTATTTCTTTTTTTAATGTATTTTTATTGATTTCAGAGAGGAAGAGAGAGAGAGAGAGAAAATAGAAACATCCATGATGAGAGAGAATCATTGATTGGTTCTGCACACCCCCTACTGGGTATCAAGACACAACCCAGGCATATGCCCTGACCAGGAATTGAGCCACACCGGCCAGGCATCTTAACTGCTTTCTGAGCATCACTGTACTATGGAACTTGCTGGTTACAGTGGTGACCTGGAGACTTGTCAGAACCCAAGGCACCTTCTTAGCAAAGAGCTACGGTTTTGTTCAGTTAGTAGCGCTCGGCTTAAAAGGACCCAAGGACTCTTACACATAGCATGGGTTCTCATCTCCCCTCCCCTGTACATTACTCTGTGGTTTTAGTCAAACATTAACCGTGGTGGCCTATGGTCTCTTCTAGTTTAAACAGGCTATGATTATGGTTTTTATATGCGACCTAATTTTCTGTTTCTTCAGAAATTAATTCTTCAAAATAAATAATACATTTATGACAGTTCTGGGTTAAACATGGGCTAACCATTCCTTCACCACTCCTAGTAATAGTTTTACTGAATTCATTATTCCTTACAAAAGTATTTACTACAGAAATTGGTCCTTAGTGTGTGGAAAGAATAAATATATTTAAGGATTGTGCTTCTTGGTCCTTATAATACTTGGCCCCTTAAAAGAACATAAATGTTATCAACCTAGCTGGTATGCCTTTCATGCTCCTCCACTTTAGGAATAAAAGTAGTGTATGCCGCTGAAACCGGTTTGGCTCAGTGGTAGAGCATCGGCCTGCGGACTGAAAGGTCCCGGGTTCGATTCCGGTCAAGGACATGTACGTTGGTTGCGGGCACATCCCCGGTGGGGGGTGTGCAGGAGGCGGCTGGTCGATGTTTCTCTCTCCAACGTTTCTGGCTCTCTATCCCTCTCCCTTCCTCTGTGTAAAAAAATCAATAATAAAAAAAAAAGCAGTGTATGCCTAAGAACTCTGACCTCAGTCTGCTACATAACTTTTTTAATCAGTAGCTATTTCTCTTTAATTTGTAAAATGAGAATAATGGTATGTTGTTGAAGATTGTTAGAGATAAAGTAATGCATATAAAGTAAGCTATTATCTATCATTACCCTGTACTTCACCAGGCACATAGATTCATTTAACTTTATTTTCTATTAATATTTCTTTTTCGAACTACACATGCTTTCTCTACCCCCATTGAGAATCACATCTTTCTGAGAAACATACCAGCCCCAATGAAAATCAGTCTGTGTTGCCATTGGGCCCATAAACCATGAGTAATAAAGCTAATTCATTTTAAATGTCCTTGTAATATCATCTAACAGGCTGGTTATAAGAAAAAATTATGGAAGAAGACGTCTGCAAGGAAAAAGCGCCTGAGGGAATTTGTGTTCTGCAATAAAACCCAGAGTAAACTCTTAGATAAAATGACGACGTCTTTCTGGAAGAGGCGAAACTGGTACGCTGACGATCCTTACCAGAATTACCATGACCGCACAAACCTGAAAGTGTAGGCCGGAAGCGCTGTGACTCCCGTTACTGGATGTGCATCTCTGGGTTCATGATGTCTTTGCAAAAGTGAATGTAAGAGTTGATGCACTAACTGATATGGAAACGTAGTACCAACATTAAACTTATCAGTTTTAAAATGTAATGGCTTAAACATTCCCAGCTTTGTTCAGGGAAATAAAAGTTTAAAATTATTGGTTACTTTTGCCGGGACCGGTTTGGCTCAATGGATAGAGCGTCAGCTTGGGGACTGAAGGGTCCCGGGTTCGATTCCAGTCAAGGGCATGTACCTTGGTTGCGGGCGGATCCCCGGTGGGGGGTGTGCAGGAGGCAGCTGATCGATGACTCTCTCTCATCGATGTTTCTGGCTCTCTGTCTCTCTCCTTTCCTCTCTGTACAAAATCAATAAAATATATTTAAAAAAAAAAATTATTGGTTACTTTTAACAAATGGTAATGGCTTAACTAGTTCCAATTGGGCTTATTTTGTTACAAAAAAATCTCAGGTTAGGACAGACATAAGATTCTAAAGCTAAAAAGAGAGTTCAAGCAGTGTGACCTCATTTTCAAGGACACATGCCTAGGAACTCAGGAACCACACCCCACCTCCATCTCCCACCCAGAACTCAACCCACTTCCAGCCTCGGGAAGAGCACTCATGGGTGTGGGGAGCTGGATTGGAGGCACCTCCAGGAGCTGAGCAGCAGGGAAGGGTGGATCCTTAGGCTTGGGGTCCGCCATATGTTTCAGTTCTTTATAGATTATAGGCTCCATTCTCTCTCTACTCGCCAACTTGTCAGTCACAGCTTTTGCTTACTCTTAGTTTCTGCTTCCTTTCTACATCATGACCCTCAAGTCCTGTCTCTAACTGCCAAGAGCTCTTAACTGCCAGCTTATCTTTACCACCAGGTCTCATCTCCGGTCGCAAACAGTGCAGGGATTGGCTGTTCTTAGGCCAGGAGCACTGGCTCACTTGGCTGCGCTAGCAATTCATGCGGAGCACAAAGTAATCACGAGGGCAGTCTCACTCAGAGGTGAGCACGGGAGGTAACACCTAATATGCTCGGTTCACTGTTCACAGCGATCTCACGTAGTTTATTGGAGCAGTATTTTTTATAGAGAAGAGCAAATGAAATAGCCTATCAGTATGCCCATTCGTGAAACAGAAGTGCTGTACAAATGAAGATAGACACTTTTTACTCACAAGTTGAAAGACGCTGTGTTTTTTAAAAGTTAGTTTATCCACTTGAGACTTCATATTTTTAATTGTGAGGATAAACTTTTCCCAAAGGTACACTGTAAGACTAAGGGGAAGGAGCCTTCTCAGTCCTTTTAGAGATGACGCAGGCGTTAAGCTTTTCTCATGTGAAGCGGGTCAGGTAAGAAGTTGACCCATCAGGTCTGGGGCAGTGGTTCTCAGCTCGCCCATCAGAATCATCTGGAAAGAATTTTCTTTTTTGGGGGAAAGCATTTTCAAACAATAGCACTTTGCCTGATTGACAAACCATTATTTACTGCTTCAAATCCTTTAGTAGCTGATGATAGGACGAAGGTCCTCTCTTGTTACTAAGGGGAAAGATAACCAAATTGAAATCCTGTGACATGTCATGGCAGGATCAGTAGAGGAATTCTTTGAAATTGTGTGTTCGTTAAAAGGAAAAGGGGTGACAATCGAATTCTAAAACTGGACGGCCAGTGCATCTGTGTATGGGATTAAGTAATAAAGAACAGACATGCGAGCCGAGGTGAGGTAAGAGCCTGGTGCGTGGAATGGCATTCTGCTTTGATGGGCTTTCACTCCCTCAGAAATCCACCGACAAGGCTCCTGGGCATCCCCGCCTCTGGCTCCTGCCTCCGGGGGAGGGGGGAGGCCGTGCCCGAAGGGGCTTCAGAGAGAGACTCACCAACCTCTGCCTCCTTGACTTCTCCAGTGCAGATGTGGACAGGGTGTTTTGAAAACCAGGTGATCACATGAATAAATCTGGTAGTCTGTTTGCTTTACATGTTTAAAGCTCGCCATCGAAACTGGGTAGCTCTGAAACTAGGGTACCAGTTCAGCTGGAAGGCCTGTCGTTTTCCTTTGGAACCTGTGTCCTCACTCGCAGGCCAGAGGGCGGTGCGTGTGCAGGCGGCTGGGGTGCCTGTGGCCTAGAGCACTTTGGTTTCTCCTCCGGGTCTGGGCGTCCAGACAAGGACGCAGGCAGGCCTGGGCGTCCAGAGGATGGAAGGGGAGGGCCGGCAGTGAACGCTTCTGGGGAAGGGACTGTCATGTATGTAGCTTTTGTTTTGTTGGATAGGGATGGGCGAGCATCTACAACGCTGCTAATCCTCATACCAGCCTTGCAAGGAGTTGTTATTTACCCCTAGTTTAGATTTGAGGACACTGAATCTTATAGAAAGTTAATAAGTAACCCAAAGCACAACTAATAAGTCACTCAGAACCCAGGCCTAACTCCTTGGAATCCTGTGTATTTTCCTGAGTCTTCTAACAACGTGAAAATCAGTACCTAAATGAAAATGAATACCTAATTACTATCGATATAATCTAGCATTGTAAATACTAGCTACTTCATGACACTGCACCGAGTCAGTTCTTAAGTTTCTGTCACTTCTTCACCTGGACGTGGCTCCGTAAATGAGTACGGGTTTTCAGCCCGTCCACCTCTCCATCTTCCTCCTGGACTTCTCGCTGCCTCTCCTGCCGTCACGCTTCGCGGTGCCCGTGCCAGCCGTGTGCGGCGGAGGACTGGAAGCAAAGCAGGTGTTCATTCCGACATTTCACACGTCGTTTCCCTGTCTTTGCGACCGCCCAGGGAAGTGCGGGGGCCGGGCCGTGTGTTAAAGGCCAGGCTGCAGTGGTGCGCACCCCCAGCCGCCTCCACACGCACCACCCTCCGGCCTGCGAGTGAGGACACTGGTTCCAAAGGAAAAAACGACAGGCCTTCCAGCTGAACTGGTACCCTAGTTTCAGAGCTACCCAGTTTCCACGGCGACCTTTAAACACGTACAGCAAACCGGCTACCAGATTTATTCATGTGGCCACCTGGTTTTCACAACACTGGTGCCGTTGAATGTGTTCCTCGCGGCAGTCCTGGGCGTGGGCTCAGGCCAGAGCCCCAGGCGCACGCATGTTACTGGTGAGCGCTCAGCTCCTAGTCCCTGCTGCCTCCCACGTTTGTTTTCTTTCACGTTTTTATTACAAGCATTTTCTCTTTCCTCATAAGCCCGACAGTACAAAGGTGTTTTTTAAAAGAAAACTGTTAAGACTTTATTCAAGGTATATACCAAGCAGAACAAAACAGCAGAACATCAGCCTTGGGAATCCTGGGGCTTTACGCCCCTTGACGCGCAGTCCGGTTTGCTGTTTTATTACAGAGCGTTCTCTAGGGTCTACAGGACTAACGGGGGGAGGACGCACAGTCACAGGCCGACACGGCGGCTGTGTGAGCGGAGCTCGCCCTTCACCGGTTCAAATACTGCACGAGGGGAAGAACGAGGGCGGTGCCGAGGCGGTCACGTGGACAAGCACTGTCACCACAAACACGGAGCTTCTGCGGGGAACACACACTCAGATCCAGCGAGACGAGCAGGCTGTTCACGGCCAGGAGGGGTCAGGACTCAACACCCACCACTGCTCAGAAACAGACCAGGTTTTCAATGGCAACTAAACCAAAAACTATTACATGACAATGACAGGGACAGACTTCTGAGCCAGCATTTTGTAAACAGCTGTGTCTATACCAGCAGAGTGAAAACGTTTCGTTATGTCCTCGAGACCGACCACCGGGCCACCACATGTACACTTTGAGGCGTTCACATTTTATGTCAGTCCACACACCAACAGAACAACTGGCCGGAGAAGTAAACACGTTTTGCCAGAAATGACAGTCTCAGTTGTACAATGAGTGTTTCTAAGAGAGAAACCAACTCTCTAATCAACACAGGGAGGAAAAGTAGTTACATTTACATTAAGACAGCAGTTTGGATAGCTTTGTATCTTTAAATCTTGAATGAGAAGTATGTCTGAGAGGAGAGCGCTTGGAATTCGTTTTTGGCATAGGTAAGTGCAAACTTGACGGTCTGTACTTGTTAAAACTGTCCATCGCAAAATAGTGAAAATCTAGCTTGCTCACATTGGAATTCTAACCTCTGCTGCTACAGGCATTATTTGGGGAAGGGGGGGAAGAAGGGGGGAGCTGCTTACATGAAGCTTTTTACGCACTCGTTTCTGATGATCCTGGACACTCCCAGCTAACAGATACGGACCGAAGCGTACATGGCTCCTGTGTCTGCAGCTACTCAGTGAGGAGGAAACAGACTTTCTGTCTTCCCTAAGCAGATCCTAGTGGGTGTGAGGCACAGACCGTGTACAGACAGCTTCCGGGTGTCGTCTGAATTACAAATTTGTTTTTAGGTTTATTTTCCTAAACCCTTTTTGTAAATTACAAAGTCACCCTCAGAGTAATGATGGGGGAAAGGGATTTAAATATGCAAGTCTGGTAACAGTGAACTTCAAGTAGAAGCCGCTGAGGGCGGGGACGCTGCCAGTGTGTCCTGGGGAAGCCGGCCGATGCCGTCCCACCAGCCACGGCTCGGGGGTGAGCAGAGCAGCCTCTACCTGGGGCGCTGACGGCTGGTGGCGGGAAGTTCTGTGTGGTGGGTAACACTAACCTGTCTAGTCTTCAGGGCACATCTACGGACAAACACGATCCAGGTGCTGTAAATAACAGGGGTGGGACCACTGCATGCATTACACCGAGAGAGAACACCAGCTCCACGCACAAACACACACCTGCCTTTAGGTTCAGCTCTGAGGGGAGAGCAGCTACCTCGGGCCAAAATACTACTTAATCCAGATCCGTCTTTCCTGACAAAGTTCCTAAGCAGGAAGCCGCCCCCCTGGCCGGTGTGCTGTTCTCCTAAGCCATCGGGCCTGGAGGAAATGCCCACTGAGACCTGGCCTGCCCAGGAGCCTGCGACTTCCCTCTCGTTCACACTGCACAGGCCAGGAGGGGAGCGGGTGGGAGGGGCTGAGCAGCAAGTCACATCCTAAAGGTCTCGGCCTCTCCCGCCCTCTGGCTGTGACACGGGCGCCTCGGGGTGGGTCTCAGCACTCGCCTGGGAGCACGGCTCGGTGTTGCATCGTTTGGCAGGTGGTGTTTCTGCTGACTGCTCTGGAAGAAGGCGCCCGCAGCGTAAGCCCCTCTGCCGGGGGAGGCAGGGCACAGCGCATTACTCTGGCGGAGGAAGAGTCCTTCAGGAAGTGCTGAGACATTCACAACGGCTCCTCACCACGGCGAAGGATTGTTCCCACGGGTGAGCCCCCATCCTCTCCCTTCCCCGAAAGGCTGCGGAAGCTCCTCCCCCTGAGCCCCAGGGAGGAGGAGCTTCCTGGGACTCCTCACCGGCTGTGTCCCGGACTCCTCCCCGCGCCCTGACCTTGGGACAGAGCCGCCGTCTGAGCGCAGGGACCGGCCTCCGCGGGGACAGGGACAGGGACGTGGACCCGAGTTTATCTGGAAGCTTTCTAAGCACAGTCTACGATGTGCTCTAGAGTCAGAAACAGGTTTTAAACTTCTGTTTTATCAGACCCTCTGGCAGCCCTTGCAAGTCCCTCATATGAAGCCAAAAGCCATACATATGTACACTGTAGTCCAAAGTATTAGTACCGAGAACAAAACACAGTTTAAAAAAATGGCTTTGTTTGCATTTACAGGACTGGAAAGGAAGTATGCAACAAATAAATTACAAATGTACATCTCAGCAGTGGGGGGATGTTCTCGTGTTTCCATAAACACTGCTGTCTGCAGTGACAACCCGATTGTGGAAAATCACGAACCTCAGAAGACAGGGTCACCCGCCACCCCCCGCCCCAAACACTACCTTCCCTGTAGCCTTTCCCAGCAACACAAAGAAAAGGAGGAAACTACCCTAAAAGGGGAGGGAGAAAAGGCCATGTCTGTGAGGCCGCACACAGCACACCAGCTCGCAGACGCCGTGTTGTCAGTGGGTAGCTCTTAAGGCAGAGGAGGAACGTTCGGTGTGTCCGGTGCTGTTGGCTCATCTCACTCATGTGGTTTCAGTGGCTGAGGATGAGGTACTTTTCTTCCTGAAGCGAGAGCGGAGGAGTCTAGGCGGTGCCTGGCGAGGAAGCAGACAGAGGCAGCTCTCACCGAGCGTGAACGGGGCTGGTGGGGCCGGCGCCGGCCGGGCTGTGTGAGCAGAGTCCCGGGGCCCAGGCTGGGCCGGGCCCTCCCAGCTGCGCCCCGGGAAGGCCAGGCGGCCCCTCGTGCTCTCCCCAGCGAAGGATGAGGCCTCTGTCCGGTTTCTGCCTCGGACCTGAAGGAGTGACTCAGCAGAGAGAGCCCCTCCCAGCCTGCCCGCTTTGTGATTTCCTCTGGAGCCACGTTTCTCAGTGCGGGCTCAACATTCCCACCACCAGGTTTCCGGTCCCCTTTGGCTGGGAAATCCTTTAATTCATGGCAAACCACACAACAGAGGGAAACACTGTCTTTAAATGTAGAGTTTTCTCCCAGCCTAGCACTCGCGGGGTTCACTCCGCCCGTCTGCCTGCCCTGCACTCTCCTTTATCTGCAGACACTGTCCTTCGCAGCTCTCCTTCCACCAGAAGCCCCCTCCCCCTCCCTCCTGCTATTTCTGGTCCCCTGTACGACCCAGCCCCAAAGGTCACTCCTGAACCCCTCCCCAGGCCCATCACACCGCCAGGACCGTCACCCCCTCTGTTCTCACAGTGGCTCCCACACGAGAGGACAAGGGGGGCTCTGCACCTGGGCAGGGGTGCTAGCTCTGTTCCCCCCTCGATCTCCCCCCCCCACCTCCGAGGGCAGGTCCTGTCAGGTCCCCAGAGCGGCTCCGTGCCCGGTGGGCACTGGGGTCAGGACCTTACAGCAGCGAGAACACAGTGACCCGTTCAGCGATCTGCCTCAGGCTGCTGAAGGCAGAGCGGCTTGTGCAGCTTTTAAAAAATAAAACCCTCGGGCCCTAAAGTTTGGCACGCTCCCCACGGCTTCCCAGGCCGTAATGGACTCCGCGAGCGAGCGGTGTCCAAACCCAGAGCTCCTTTACTAAAACCTCTACTTCCACGTGGCCCGGCCCGCCGTGGAGCAGAATCTGATGGACCCCACCCTGCGGGCTTCTGACCAGTCCCAGTGTGAACGGACCCACAAGGGCTGGTGTGTGTGCAGGGGAAACTCCCGGTGCATTTCCTGTCTGGGCCTCACGGACAGGCGCTCCCAGCGGCCTCAGACGGATGGATCCTCAGGCCGCAGACCCAGCAGAGGGCAATAGGAGAGGGGCCGAGAGGAAGACTCGGGGGGCCCCCAGTGCTGCCAGGCCTGCACCTGAGCCAAGGCTGAGCGAGGCTCAGGAGGCTCTCGGCTTGGCCCTCCTGCCAAAGCCCATCCACATCTACAACTGGCAGCAGCTCACATACCAAGCTGTGTCCCTTTAATAACACTTTATGGGACATCCGCTTTGTACCAGGCTCTGTGCTGAATCTGGAGATACAGTGATAAACAAGCTAACGTGTTTATAAAACCTTGTCAAATAGCATGTTCTGAGTTCTTCTTCCCCCCGAAACACTCATTTGGATTGCTTTTCACTTACAGAGGTTTATTTTAAAAACATAAACCAATTAAAAACACACTATCCCATCTCCTGTTTCCAAACTGAATTGCCAGGGTCTTCTCTGCCCCTTGGCAAACCACTGGGTGCTGCCCGGTGTGTGGGGCAGAGGGACAGCCTCCCGCCCCAGGCCCTCGGCAGTGCCAGGCGCCCCAAGAGACAGCTTCCGGGCGCCCAGGTCTCCCGGCGACGCCCTTGCACAAGCACACGCTCCCCCGGCCCAGACTCAGTGTACCTCCAGGGGGATCTCCGTCTTCCGCAGGGTCTTATACTTGTACATGAAGTCCAGCAGGTCTTCCTCCTCCTCGTCGGAAAAGGCCAACCGGCTTTGGACCTGGCGGGGCTCCCACGCCTTCACACCACCCTCCGCCACATCTCCCTCAACCACTTAATGTCCATTTACAATCTACACGGAGGAGACAGAGCGGGCGAGGAGGGTCAGCGTGGGGAGGAGCACGGGGCAGGGGCGGGGGCAGCCAGGGCACGGTTAGCACACAGCACGGCACGTCAGGCCTGTTAGCTCCATCCTCCCTCTGAAGCAGCAGCCAGAGTCCTCGGGATCCTGCGGGGGCCGGATGGCCAGGGAGCGGCTGTGCCTGGCCAGCCACACACTGCACAGGGGCAGGCGCAGGTTCAGAACCTGCCGATGAGCTACCAGTGGGACGGGGCCCTGCTGCCCGGGAGGAGAGAGAGGCTGCTTCACGGAGACGTGTCAGCCCCGCAGCTGAGACCTGGGGCAGCAGAAGGATGCTGTGGAGGGAGCGTCTCCTCTAAAAGGAGAGGCAGTGATTTCAAGAGGGGAGTAGCACCGTGTTCTCCATTCCACAATGCTGGCATTGCAGGTCCAGGGCCAAGTGAGAGAGATAGAGATGTGTGTGTGTGTGTGTGTGTGTATGTGTGTGTGTGTGTGTGTGTGTATGTGTGTGTGTGTGTGTGTGTGTGTGTGTGTGTATTCCAGGGAGGAAAGAGGGAGAGAGGGATGGAAACATCATTGCTGAGAGAGACTCACTGATCAGCTGCCTCTGCACACCCCCCACTGGGGATCGAGCCCACAACCCAGGCATGTGCCCTGACCGGGAATCGAACCGTGACCTCCTGGTTCACAGGTTGACACTCAGCCACTGGACCATGCTGGCCGGGCTCCAGGGGTTCTTTAAGGAACAGCATGTGAAATGCCGGGAAGCCTCATGGAGAAGCTTAAGCTAAGCTATGCAGATGTTTCATTTCCAAGGCCAAGTCCTAAAGAAGCAAAGGAGAACCTAGTAGTAGTAGCCTTCACCTCAAAAGTGACAGCAGGAGCCCTAACGGGTTTGGCTCAGTGGATAGTGTCGGCTGGTGGACTGAAGGGTCCTGGTCAAGGGCATGTACCTTGGTTGTGGGCACATCCCCAGTGGGGGATGTGCAGGAGGCAACTCATTGATGTTTCTCTCTCATCAGTGTTTCTAACTCTCTAGCCCTCTCCCTTCCTCTCTGTAAAAAAAATAAAAAATAAATAAAAAATCCATATAAATATATTTAAAAATGACAGCAGGGCCGGGACCGGTTTGGCTCAATGGGTAGAGCGTCGGCTTGGGGACTGAAGAGTCCCGGGTTCGATTCTAGTCAAGGGCATGTACCTTGGTTGCGGGCATATCCCCAGTAGGGGGTGTGCAAGAGGCAGCTGATCGATGACTCTCTCTCATTGATGTTTCTAACTCTCTATCTCTCTCCTTTCCTTTCTGTACAAAATCAATAAAATATATATATATTTTTTAAATGACAGCAGGAGCCCTGCTTTAGCCAGCCTCGACGCCTCCCCAGAGAGAGCTCCAGAATTAACCCAAGTCATGGAGTGCACAGCATTTTTTAAATGTTCAAGGCTGAGCATGTTCCATGCCATCTGGCCAGCTAGTGCCTCTTAGTTGAGTTGCCCATATCCAGCCTATCTGACATACACAGATGCATCTTTCTGTACTTTATCTATTGTTTTTACCTAGAATCACAACATTCAAAGACAGGGGCTCTCAATCTCCTGCCCACTGTCCTGAAGCCTGCAGATAGAAACCAGCGCCCTTCCTCCTCCTCCTCCTCCTTAAAGAACGACTACACCCTACTCCTGCCCCTCAAAACACAGTCAGCCACAGTGTGTTTCCTCCATCAAAAGGGGACTCGCCAGACTACAAAGCACCAGGTGTGGGATTAAGTAAAACAACCAAATCCTCAATTTGAGCAGCTGCCCAACTATTGATGCAGTACTCTCACATAGCCAGCAGGTGGCAGCACGAGAACACAGTTGTCTTAACCGCCTACTCAGCAGCACTTTCCTAAGGGCCAAGCCCGAGATCATTAAGATTCCTTTTATTTCTTTGCTTTGTGTGTCCCCCAGCCTGTTTTCTCTGGGTTTAAGTTATCCTCTGGCCCCTTCCCCTGCCCAAATCAGCTGCACTCCGAACACTGACAGCTCCAGGGAACCCTCCTGAGCGCTCCGGCCCTCCTGGCCTCTCCTCTCCCTCACCGGACAGCGCCTGGAGTCTGTACCCCCGGGCTTGTGCTGCGTGCCCTGGTTCTCATGTCAGTCACACTGCCGCGGCCCCCTAGAAAGCACCCTGATCCGGGGTGCATGGCAGATCCTCCCTCCCCTCCTGAACACAGGAAATGGCTTCTGGGCACAGACACCTCGGGCCTGCGGGCAGAGAAAAAGACAGAAGCCCTTAGAGCAGAAACTGCAGACGCAGCCTGGCCAGCTCCGTCCCTGCCAGGAGCCCTGCACCCTGGGAGCGGGCTCGGGGCTGGGCTGTCTGTGCCTCTAAATCCCGAGCACGGCTTCTGCTGTCCTGGCCATTCTGGGGCTCGGAAGGCAGCCCAGTCACCACAAGGCCCTTGGGCACCAGCAATTCGGCTCAGCCATGCAGGCTGGAGCGCTGAGGCCGGGTGTGAACTCACGCACTGTGCCAAAATCGCTGTGCCAAAATCCTAACAACAGTAACTCCTGCCACCACCGGCTCAGCATGAAACCAAATGGGCTCAGGCTGAAGGGTGGGAAAGAAGTGATCCTCTGCTCACTCGGGGTGACCGGTCAAAGGGAACTCGGGTACCCAGGCAGGAACACAAAGCTTCAACAAAGTGGCAGCGGCTGGAGCTAAGGAGGCAAGTGTGGGCAGCTCGGGGGCCAGAGCAGCCTTGGATGGAAGCGACCGAGAGAACCTACTGCCAAGAGCAGGGCCCTGCTGATCATGTTCACCGAGAGTTTCCGCCAAGAATGCTGTTTGCAAGACTCTGCCTTCCTCGCGCCCATTAAATCCGCGCCCTGGACGCACTGAGCCTCCCTCCGGTGGGCGCTGTGTGACACACCCTCTCCCTGTCTCCCTCTGCAGCGGCCACAGGGACGCCTGCTGACAGTCCCCTGTCTCCTCACCTCTGCCTCATCTTACTCACCGGCTCCCTTTCCCCCGGCGACACTTCTTACTGCGGCTTACCTACCATCTGTATTTCTGCGAGGAGACTTCTACTTTTTACGGATCAGGGAATGCTATATCAGTGGTCGGCAAACTGCGGCTCGCGAGCCACATGGTGGCTCTTTGGCCCCTTGAGTGTGGCTCTTCCACAAAATACCACGGCCTGGGCGGGTCTATTTTAAAGAAGTGGCGTTAGAAGAAGTTTAAGTTTAAAAAATTTGGCTCTCAAAAGCAATTTCAATCGTTGTACTGGTGTTATCTGGCTCTGCGGACTAATGAGTTTGCTGACCGCTGCTATAAGAAGAAACCCCACAGAACATGGTCCTGCTAACAGGGCACAGGATGCAGATGGGGACGAGAGGCCGGGCAGGGTGATGCTTGGAGCCCAGGGACACAGGAGGCGTCTCCCGTGGAAGATCCTGGCACAGCAACCCGCTCCAGGTCCCGGACGGGGGCAGTCAGGGCCATGAGCCTGGGATGGGGCCTCCGGAGAGGGCAGGGGTCCCTCTGTTCTCACAGCAGGCCATGGGCGCGGCCGGGCTGACACCGTCTCAGCGAGGTCAGCGGGGCTCCCGCAGGCCAGGGGCAGCCCTCCTCCCTCTGTGCACAGGGTGAGGGCAGGACAGAGACCCTGGCAGGCTCCCAGCCCTTCCAGGCCCAGCACACCCAGCTGCACCCAGCCCTGGGCGCCCTGACCCAGCAGGCGGTGAGCAAGCCCCGGGTTAGCAAACACCCCACACGGCACACATGTGAGGAGCACGCCTGCCCGGAACACTTACGTCCGGTCCCGCCGCCGCCGAGGGAGAGAAAAAACACTGTGAGGCAGGGCCTCGGAGAGCAAACCCGCTCCGCGCACACACGCCGGCGTGCACACACGCCCCCGTCTCCCCCTGGCACCGCTCCCGCTGAGCCCGCGGACCCGTGGCCAGCCACCCTCAGCACAGCCCCTTCCCCACCCCCCGGAGACCGGAAATGGGGGCGACTTTGCTTTGGAAACGATGTCCCACACACTCGATTAAAAACAAAACCCAGCTCTATGCTCATCCCCAGCAGCACCACAGGCTCGGTTCTATGTCACACCAAAGGAGGAAGAGAGGAAGGAAGGAAGGGAGGGAGGGAGGGAGGGAGCGGCAGAAGAGAGAGGGCCGAAACAGAGAAAGATGGAGGGAACAACAGGGAATCCACTGCCAGCGGGACAGGAAATGTGGGGGAGGGGGAATGTTCTCCTGTGACCTGAGAAGCAAATGGAAATCAGTTCTGGGGACCGGGAGGGCCCTCCGACCACATGTGACCCGCTGAACTCTCCCCCGTCACTGCCAGAGCTGGCCTCCAGGCCCCTTCCCCCCCCCCCCCCCCCCCCCCGTCACTGCCAGAGCTGGCCTCCAGGCCCCTCCCCCCAGCAAGCAGAGCCCCCCCAACACCAGTGATCCGCTGGCACTTCCCACACCTGCACTGCAGTTGTGGCTGGAGCGGTGGGCCCAATGCTACCCTTTAGAGGAGGGGCCTGCGGCCTGCCAGGGCAGGGACAGGGACGGTGCAGGAGAATCAGCTGGCTCCTTGCAAGCATACTTTAGGGAGCAAGCGGAACTCAGGCCTCTGGGTGCTAAGAGGGCCTGGAAAAGGGAGACCCAGGGCAAAGGCTCCCAGATCACACCCCAGGCAGGGCCACCGCAGCCAAACCCCCCTCCCCCACCGCCGCCTCCCCCACAGCAAACTGCGGTTCCTGCAGTCACCTGCAGTCCCACTGACCGCACTGGGAACGCAGCCTCTGGTTATGGACCAGCAGGTGTCCTGGGCCGGTGGGTGGTAGGGGGCTGGGCCTACTTCCCAGCAGGCTGCACGGAACTCCCTCCCGGAGAGGCAGCTTCCTCTCCCTGGTCCCCGTGACAGGACTTCAGAACCCAGGCTTTCTGAACAGAATTACAAGCTCGAAAGCTTACAGGATGAATTGAC